TGGCTTCCTATGGTTTTGCCTGTTTTATGTGCTATTCCAATATTGGTGTACGTCAACGATTTTGTAATCATTCTTGTTTCGGGGCTATAATATGTAAAGGTATTGAAAATTCCTTTTTTTTTGTTTTGTTATGCTTCTTGAATTTTAGGGGCTGGTATGTTGTTTTAGTACTGTACTAGTTATGTGTTGTCGGAAATTGTTGCTGGCTAATATTTCGTTTAGAGTACTTAATTCTACTATTGCATTTTCGTGGGTAATTGGGTAGGGAGTCACGCGGTTGATCAGGCATCTTGTTACTTGATTTTTACGCTCATTTGGGTGGAAAGAAGGTCTGTACTTGCAGTTTTTCTATATATGCCGAAAGTTAATTTGTTGTGCTTCTTCTTAATAGTTAAGTCCAAATAATTTAATGTATTGTCGTGTGTTGTGTATATAACGCGACAAATAACTTCACGCCGTATTGGATATCGCGAATTTTATTGCACATTAACTCATACAATCGCACAAATTACAATCTCGCAACTACTGCTATCTGCAGTATCACAAATACTAGACTGCATACTCTTCCCTGGCCAACTCGTAACTAACTAGTAACTCTCCGCTGGCTAGATTCCAACTCAACTCGTAGGCTGCTGCCTTGAGAACTGTCTTCGGCGGCTGTGTAGTTCACTTATAAACCCTCAGCCGGACAACGGGAAAACAGTTACGTAATAGGCACCACTGTTGTCTGACGCAGTGTTTGCCTGTTACATAATGGGTACCGCTGTTATTACCGTCGTCTCTCGCAACCACTGTTTACCCGCTTTCCTTAGCAATCGGTGTTTGCTCGCTTTGCATAGCGACCAGCGTGCTGGGACACGACTCACTTCGGCTCCGCTCGGCATGTCACGGCTGCGGGGCGGGAGGGGCGTCATCCATAGCGCAGCACATCACAGTATTAGCTGTTTCATTTTCAGAGTGAATTTTATATTTGGGTGTATTCTAACCGTCTAGTTCTTTAAGGCCCTTTTGTTGGGCGTCACTCCTTCTTACCGCCCTTCTCCGGCAGTCCTCTGAAGAGCCCTTTGGTTGCTGGTTGCATCTGCTCCTCTAGCCGTTCCCACTCACCTGTGGTTACTTCGAGTTGGCAGGTTGCTGCTGCGTCCTTCCTATCCAGTTGTGTTTCCCTTTTTGTTGTTCTGGTGGATAATAGTTTGCGGGGTATGGGTTATCAGAGTGCTGGGCGCCAGTAAGCTTACTGTAACGGCTTACATTTCGGGGAAAAGGGGGGATGAACTGGAAACTACAGGTGCTAGGTACCGCGTTCTCACTGGAGCGATGAGATTCGGTCTCAGGGTGAATAAGGGACTCGCGTCAGCGGGAAAGAGAAGAGTGTTTTAGTAGGCACTAACACAAACTGTTTAATTAGCCAATCTTGCTACACACGTACATTTAACAGCACTTGTTGCACTTCCTTAAAACACATGGAAATCTCTCCAACGTTGGCGACCGAATCCCTGGCCAGTTAGTTAGCGGCTGTTTGTTTTAGCACAACCCCTAGAATTGCACTTTCACTTATACTTTTAGCACAAAGAAAATTTCACGTTAAATTTAGAAGAGTTATCCAGAGATTGTTCCGGCAAACACTTAAACATAATTTCGGCTGTACACTTGGAGGGCTGTTCAGAGACTCCTCTCGCAGACTGCCCCTGCTTCGAAGCAAGAAATCTTCGCGGCTTCAGCTCCGCCTCCAAGTTACTACCCTAATTTCTGCTGATTGGAACAATTCGAATTTAGGGAGTTAACCATAATTCTCACTGCTCCAATCACATAACTTTAATTTGGGACTTTGGACCTTAAAGTCGTAACGTTGTTTTAGACAGCTGCCTGAAAAATTACACCAGTAGCGTGGGTTGCTGACCTTCCCACTTTTGACTTATGGGGTTCAAAACTTGTCAAGTGTAACTTTACCAAAGGATCCCGCCGGTCAACTTTCTAACTGAATTTCCAGGAAAACTCTGCGGGGTGCTTCCTGTCTGGTCTTTGTAGCAGAGAAGCAGGCCCTTTTCTTGAAACCAAGAATCGGGCTAAGTCACCCTTGAGTGTTCCTTGTTACCTCTTGTGTACAATTACTCTAAAAAGAAATATTGATTACAAATAAAGACGGCGGTGTCAGTGGTACGGCTATAGTATTTTATTTAATTCAATTAAGGTGTTTTCTATATTTCTTGTGTTTTTATTGTATATGATCAATACATCGTTGACATACCTGTAATAATCCATTATTTCATGTTTTATCTAAAATTCTGACGATTTTTATTTACTTCAAATATTGTAAAAATTTTGAGCTAAGATAGCTAATGTTGGTGCTACCATTGGAAGGCCTTCGTTCTGACTTTATAACTGGTCGTTAAATTGCATGTAGTTATGTTCGACAATGGTATTAAAAGTACTCTAACGTATTCTAAATCTTGGTTTTCACTTGTAGATATTTCATTATCATTTTTGACGTTTTAATATATTATATTTTTTATTTCACCAACTGGTGTATTTATATATAAATGTTTTTAATGTCAAGAGAACACAGTTTGGTGTTTTTGTTTATTTGTAACTTCTCGAGACTATGAAAAACTTGATGGAATCTTTAACGTTATAAACATATGGTAGTTTTAATTTATGTGATATTTGTGTGGTTAGGTATTTTGCCAATTTATAACATGGGCTATATTTCCAGTTGACAATTCGTCGAATTGGTTTATCTTCGTTGTGCAGCTTTATGGTACCATATAAAAACTCAATTGCTTTAGTCGCGAACTATACTAACCGAGCGACCGCAGCTTCTCAACGAAGTTAGTGACAACTTTAGCGGTTAGAGGGTGTCGTGTGGTCAGCGCAAGGAATCCCCACGGCCGTTATTTTCGGTTTTTTATACGGGATTATGGTACCACATATTGTACTGAAACATGTAGCAGGAATAAAGGTCGAATTGTAAAATATTAAAAAGTGAGCATATTTGTTGGGTTAACGGTTAACATAATTCACACACACACATCTATATATATATATATATATATCGATCCTTATCGAGCCGCACGTGGTTAAGAGTCCTTTGTTTATATGCGGCCGCTACAATTCGAGCCCCACAGGTTGGTCGCCATCGCTACACCCGCCCCACACGCTTTAATTCCACGCGGTGTATGCCTCGACTAAATTCAGCGGAATGAGTCTTATATCCCAGGGGTACACGGGTGTTGGCTCGCTTACGTCGTTTTTTGGATGCGGGCTCGATCGGTTTACCCCCTAGCACAGGTTCCACCTGAACACCCTCACTCCCTGGCTTCTACTCACTAACTCCCTTTACCCTCGCTGCTGCTTCCAGAATCCAGAAATCACGTTCTTACCCATCTCGAACTTTCCAATGGGAGGTTTTCATGACCAAACGCACGGACCCCTTCCGGTCTGCACACCTTCTCGAAGCTTCGATCCACAGATCTTCCACCACCACAGGCACGGAAGAAAGAAGGTATACCTACTCCTCCCCTGAATGCAATGGACTCACCAACCTCCCTTCTGTCCCTCGCAACAAAAGGCCAGTTCAGAGGACCAAGATACCTCCGTGAAGGATGCGTACGGTTACAATATATATGGAACACAACAGGATGCAACCAATGAAGATGTCTTTTTCTGTTGGAAGAACTTCTCATCCATCTGAAAATATGAGGTTCTGACATAAAATTCTAGCAGTTGCATGTTGGCTTCGACCTGTTCCTCCAATGTGACACCGGTATGAAGCTTATTTCTGATGACCTGTAGGGATTCGTTGACTGGTACGTTAATGGCAACATCGAAGCTAACGAGGGTCTCTAGATTTTTAAGTCTTACATACTTCGGCAACAATATGAATTGTAGAAAGCAGTCATCTGAGATGTGGCGCCATGTAGATATTGTGTTAACCGACGTTTAGGAGGACCGTATTCCGTCCATCTTCAGAATATAGGAAAAAAGAAGAAATCTATGAGCGAGGAACCAGCGTGAGCAGGTGCTGGCAGTTCCGAGAAATGTTTCGTTTCCTTTCTGTACTGCCGCTGCTTCATTTTCAATTAAAACAAAATTTCATCTGACATAATTATTGCCGTATATTATCAGTTAAGGTCACTGTCAACAGAGAATTCCGATATGGCTATCACAGTGGAGACGCTTTCGAGAGCGAACTTGAAATTTCTGCCAATTCAGTCTTGTAAAGTAATTCGGATTCTAAAAAATATTTCGTGTTCATAACATCATTATCCTACGTACCAAAATATCTATCTTTCGCCCGCTGCCGACGAATGAAAAGACGATTTTCGCAGTTCATCCATGAAGTGACTTCTGCACGACAGAGCTAATGCTGCAGCGTTGCTGTTGAGACCCACCAGCCTGAAAGTACGTAGAAAAAAAGATCCGCTTTCACACTCATTTCTTGCTCGCCTCATTCTTCGACCCTGAAGAAGGAGGTGAAATATTCCTCCGCAACTTCGATTGGATTTCAACGGACTACACGGAGCTAAGCCGATCACAGTGGCCGCGCAGTCTAAGGTATGAAATATCTTCGCCTCTCAAACGCTGGGATCGTGGGTTCGAATCTTACTCAAGACATGGATGTTTGTCTTTATTCTGTTTGTGATGTTCTGTGTGTAGGTAGAGGCCTCGCGTTTGGCTGATCTCCCGTCCAGGGTGTCCTATCAACTGTCCAGGGTTAAGAAACTGAAGTGAAATGAAGAGCGTTGCACGTATGCCCTATGCTCTAAGTGGAGTGGGTGCAACACGAATAGATAGACACGGCGTTATACCGCAGAAGATAGCATTTTTCAAACAAATCTAATCGTTTGAGAGTGGAATTATAATTTCGTTTTACTGAATCGAACTGCTTCCAGCTGAGGATTTTGCGAGTCTGCTGTGGAATCAGGGACATCCGCAGTTACAGTGCACTTCCTTTCATATCTGCATGGAATGCCTCTCATGCAGTTCTTTCGTTCCTGCAGTTGTACTGTTCGTGGCCACCATTCTGTTCCGACCCTTCGAACTGTTTCCTGGTAGCCACCAAAAAAAGAAGTGTCCTGTTGACGCTGATACGAGTAAGGATATTAAATCAGGTACAGTATTAGGTTAATAATAATAATACACAAATTTGTAAAACATTTAATTGGATTAAAAAAGAATATCACATGTACAGTCACTTTTCATACCAGTTAAACATAACAAGAACTGTGCATCATATTTCGGAATGTTACCTGAATCTTACTAAAAACAGAAGCAGTAGCATTTGAATTAGCTGTAACTGCGTGCATTTATTCAATGCAGAATGATATTATCTCTGTTTATATAACACTGTCCTCTTCCATTGCTGTTATCATGACCACGAAATTTAATGGAACTAGTGTAAGTTCCTCGTGGTATGGAAATAAAGTATAGTTAGATTTCTAAGCTCCTAACAACCTCGTACTTTCACCATTTTCTTATTGCTAGTGGGGTGGGACTAAGTCCCTTGTACTGCGGCCACTTCTGGAGCTACTTTCCGCCATACTTTTAGTCTAATGGATGTTCACGCTGGGGACACAGGAAAAATGCATGCCTGGCCGTTTTTCCAATACTCGTGTGTATGTAACTGCTGAAACTTTTCGAGTATAGAATTATTTGGTGTATTCCCAAACGTTTACTCATGTTGTAAACTGAAAATTATTTTCACCCATCTTCATATTAAATGTGTGTTAATGTGGAATATGTGATGGATCTTTGCAGCGAGATGCAAATGAATATTCATTGAAGTGTGTAAAGGTAAAATTCCCCTTCTGCTCAATTAATTGAGCGCTATGCCATGAAGACAAACGCGGGAGTGGAGGTATAGCTCCACTATTCTTCACCTTGGCACTGGGGGTGAGTAGTAAGCTTCACTACCCGGCCGCTTTACCCCTGAGGAAATAGCCCACGGTACCCATTGGATAGGAGGCTGGGTGGGCCCCAGAGCCAGTCTGAACACTGTGAAGGACGGAAAAGTCTTTTGCCCTTACCGCGAATGGAACCCAGACCGTCCAGCCTTAGCCCCCCTTATACTGACTTAGCTATCCCGCTCCTCTGATGTTCGTTTTCAAAATTTAATTTAATTTAACCGGTGTAGATACTTACGTAGAACTGTACGGACAGCATATCCACATCTATAAACTTCTTTAAAATGATTATCAACATCATTCTTGTAAGGCTGAATTTGATGAAACAGTTGTTTTAAGGATATGTTATGCACTTGTGGGATATGCCTCTGCGCTTGGCCTCTCCATTCAATTTGTTGCATGGATCCGTCACGTACATTTAACAGAGCATCAAAGAGGACGTATCAATTAACCGGCTGCATTTTTCTCTATCTGGACCATACCCCCCATGTACTCAGTTTAAGTTATGAATTTCTATTGAATAATTAAATCGTCTATTTACCTAATAGATCTGTATTGTTATCATGGCAAAAATTAAATTCCGCGATTTGTTCCACAAGCCAGTATGATGTTTCTAATATACTTTTCAACACAAAATCGGTTGGAACATTTAGAGAAACAGATTCGGAGGACAGGAAGAATATTTGTGTGACCACTAATTCTAAGCATATTTCTAAACTGAGAAACTTATAAACTGAAGAAAAATATAAGCCAATATCATAAAAAGAAAATATTCTTAAGCTATCGTACGTATAATTTCAAAAGCTGTTTGCTCGGCTCTTTAAATTGAATTACAGACTTACGCAATTTACCTTCTTATGTTTAAAAATTCTCTCTCTCTCTTTTTTTTTTTTGAATATAGTACTCTTTGTGACATCAGTTGTTCTGTTATATCTTCTTTCGACGTAACGAAAATTAAGTTTTGAAGAGTTCATTAAAGAATTACCCAGATATTAATTCTAACAACGGATATGAACTTTGCTTTAATAATTTTATATAGTTATTCCTTTAACAAATCACCAATTACTTTTCTTGCATTACCTAATTTACGTATTTCGGTTGCAATTTCCTTGTACTCTGTTGAATTTTTCCAGATTTCAACACTGCAAGCATATTTCGGACCCAGCCCAGTACTTCAGGAAAGCCATGTAAAGACGTTACTTGTCTCGCTGTTTCTACGCAAGTGTTATTTGGATTGAAGCATCTTTTGCAGATGTAATAAGAACTTATGCAGGACGTCTTCTTTAATTTCTCCTCTGGTTTCGAGCTCCACACTTATTTGAGTTTCTGAGCAATGACAATAACACGAAATTTTTATATGGCATATTTTACATGTTTCAAGTAACCCCTTATTTACTCCTTTCCCACCATCTGAGACAGATGTGAGGAATCGGTAACTGTCCTGAGTTGAAGAGCGGCGGTTATTCCCCGCTGCCCGTCGAGCAGAGCTTCTTGTTTTCACTGTTCTATCTCGGAACTGGAAGGGGCGAGTCTACAGCGCCGGCGCAGGTGAACTCAGAGCAGTCGTGTCTCTTAACAGCGTCCATGACGTCACTCAGGTGGTATAACACCTCTTCATTGGGTTGAATTCTGCAACAATAACGAATTTAAGGTACAGAATACCTGAATGTTCTTGTACGAGCAGTGTTTTTGTTGATGTTTGTTCAATTTATATTGCAGCAGAAGGAAGATAATTTCTTGGGGTTATTTTAAGACCCTTTCAGCATCTGCACTGATGCTAGGATGACTGGTGAGTGTGTGCCGCTGCTATTCTTTACAGTTACTTTACACGTAGTGCGGCGCGCACACAGGGAGACTACACAAAATAACTCCTGTACAGTGCTGGAAACAAGAACTAGCCGCTGCAGCACTATAGACATAGGGCGAGTAACCCTGACAATTTTAAAATTTTAATTTCAAATTTAGAGAAAAATTTTAAAGGATTTTAAAATTAGAACTAAAGATTTTATAAGTGCTAACGTGTGTAACAAAATTAATCTAAAAACCAGACAGATATCAACGAAGTAGATGTTGATAATAACAACGAAAGGAACAATGTGTTTTCAAATGTTAAATTTTTAAATAAGTGCAATGTAACAGCAACGTGAGTTTATACACCTGATCATGGCCGTTTGAGGCCGAAACATGTAGTGTATAGGAGAGCAATATCAAGGACATATAATATATTGTTTGCATTTGGGACGGAGTTCATATCATTTATCGTATAGAGTGCAACAGGATGCTTAAATATAATATTGTAAACTTCAGCGTTTGTAATAGGTCTGTGTTATCTCTGGCACAGAGACAGAGAATATGAATTAAATGTGCATGTGTTACTCACGTGATGTGAAACATCTTCAGAATTGTGAATTGCAGCTAGGCCTGTAGTACATATGGAAGTAATTAAACTACACAAATTAGTTAGTTAGTTATTGGAGAGGGTGGGTTTCCCCATGCACCACGACCAGTTTGATCTATTGTGCTTCCCTCTATGATATTCTACCAGTCTCTATACCCTACCGATATTGGTGCGTACCATCAGTCCCGACCGAGCCAGCGAGTTCGGCCTCTACTGGCTTGGTGGTATCTATAATGCTTCCCCTATCTATCAGAGGCGTTAGAGACTACTGTTGGGCGGGAAACGTCCTTGAATTTGGCTCAGTGACCACCTTTGGAGATACGAGGTTCTTTTACGTGCCGTAAAGCTACGACACGGGACACACGGCTTAAAGTCCCTCCTGGAGGACTTGTTCCCTGAATTTTTCCGCCCTTAAAAATTCCACGACCTCCGCCGGGTTTGAACCTGCGTACCACGAGTCATGAGGTGGGAACGTTACCTCTAGACTACGGAGGCCGCTAACTATACAAATTACTTCAGAACTTCCTCGAATATGAGCAATGATTCGTTCCATTCGTTTTTACTTAACGTCATTAGCCCCTACACATACATCTATGCCTCGAGTAAGATTCGAACCCACGATCCCATTGTTCGAGAGCGAAGAGAGTTAATGTCTTTGACCGCGCAACCACTGCGATCGGCATTGCAGACTTCTGGTGTTTCAAATCTTGGGTTGTTAATATCGTCTATATAGAGTGTCCCAAAGTCAATAAATTGGTTATTAAAATGTACAGTAAAATACGTTAAAAATTTCCTTATTACTTACTGAACATACAAACATTGTTCGAAATCAGATCCCCCATATCTAATGTACAGCGCTTTGATACCGCATTACTAATTGACTATCAGGTTTAAGTCTAAGCATTCCCATTAATTTCAAGCGAATGTTTTAAATTCACTGACGCCTAGGGCACTCTGTACATAATCAAAATGTATATCCCGCCCATTATACAAGGTCGCACGGACTCAGGCTGGCACAGTCACTCACGGCTACAACACGGAGATCGTGAGTTCGAATTCCTATGAGAGTATGAATGTGTACCTGTTTTGGTATTGTCCTGTGTAAGTTTAAGCCTCGCAGTGGGCCAATATCTTGCCAAAGGTGTACTACGAATTGCCTACCAATAAGATAGCGACAACCCGGAAAATATGAGGCCTCGGACTTTACAAATCACTACAGCACACGATAAGTCTTTTCAGTCTGCTGTCTTCACTAGTCGTTCCCTGGTAATGGCTTTTAACAGTGAATATTCTTCAACTGCATCGACTAAGGTTTCTCTTCATAACCTTCCCTACAGCTCTCTCTTGCTGTAACTGTCCTCCTTATAACATTTCAGCACAGACCGTGCAGAAAACAGCTTTCAGCGTTGTAATCGAATCTTTTCCTTCGGAGCATGTTTGTTTGCGAAGGCGTTATTCAGTAACGGCTTGCATTTTAAGAATCAGTTGCCTAACAGCGGATGTTGTCTCGTTGATTGCTTCGAGGTCGTTGCCCAGTAACGCGTATACACGCTTCAGTATCATTAAAATCGTTCAGTTGATTCAAGTACTGAAAGGGTGACTCCAGACACAGAGCCAAGAGCAGAGAAATGAGCACAGTATGATGTTCTCATTAGGCTAATGTTACCATTAGGGAATAGAAAGTAAAATGGAAATATGACATTTTATCTTGCGTTAATGCTATTAATATTTGTTATTTTAGAATATGACATGCGGATTTATTGTAGTCGTTCGTCTTGGGGCTGAGAGAGAATTCCTGACTTTCTAAATTGACGTTCAGCACTGAAATGGCCTGTCAGCCACTTTTGTTCCAAGTGCTCTATAAACAGCTGCATGCCGCAATTCTAGAGAAAAACGGCGTGGAAAAAGAATGCAATAAATAAAAGAAAGAGACTATACGGCAGGAAAAAAAAAAGTAATATTGCGTGTTTTCTTTAATAGTGTGTTCCTTTCGTGATAGTGGCGTAATTTGACTTACTAAGTAGTCCTGCTGTAACATGTTCAGAAATTGGCCGGACCATAGCTCAAGCGGTTAGTCGCTGGCTTACCATCGCGGCGGTCCGGGTTCGATCCCGGGTCTCGTCAAGTGGGATTTGTGGTGGACAAAGTGGGGCTGGGGCGGGTTTTCTCCAAGTACTTCGGTTTCCCCTGCCAATCCTCATTCCACCAAATTCTCCATCATCTCAGTCACCCGGGGTAGGTACAATAGGCCAATCAGTGGCCTCCGTGCCGAGTGGACCCAGTTGGGTTCAGAAATTCCAAAGATAACAGTGTATAGCTTAAGAGAGACCTATATAGCGTACCAAGGGAGCCTGCTCAGAAGGGAAGAGGTGTGAAATGGATGTTAATATCAAAAGTTATCCTAAACAATTAGGGCGTAAAACTGTTGACTTTATTGTATTGGCCCTGCACAAGGACCAACGGCGTTTTTTTGTGAACACAGTAACATGCATTCGGGTCCTATAAAAGGTAAGGAATATTCTGACTAGCTGAATAACCATCAGCTTCTCAAAAAGGACTCTTCGATATTCAGTCCTCTATATCATAAGTTTTTTTTCCTTCAAACATTATAGCATCTGTAAAAAAGAAAACGTAAAGCTCTCCCTGTGACAGGCCGTCGAGGCCCCCACATTATCTAGACAATCGGCTCACAGATGGTGGTGAGGCTGTCAGCCTTATGCTCCGGCCGCCCTTTAGTCCCAGGAAGATTCCTGGTTCTTATTTCTGTTAGAGGCTAAGTCCACCCTAGTGCCATGGTGCGGCTGGAAGAATTAGGTCAACTGAAAACACCAATGACCTCATCGGGAATCGAACCCTCGACCTTCTGGCTTGTAACATAATGTCTCAACCAAATACGCTATCGCGTCCCCTTATAATATGTGTAATAGAATTATACATTACGATTTTACAATTTGTTTGTAAAAATCTCTATGTTCCTTACGGACCGATATCATAACTGAAGTGCCAACGGCCCAGGACCAGTTCATTCCAGATGTTATAATGGTTCATTATAGTTCAGACTGTAAAGCGACCTGTCAACGGTTGGTTGGTCGGACTTCGATTCTCGGCCGGGAAATATTTCTGTAACCCACAGCGATTACACCGGTCCTGGAGCCCACCCAGCCTCCTTCCCAAGGAAGTAAAGTAGCCGGATCACCCCCTTCTAGTGCGAGGTCAAGTATTGTAGAGTTATATCTCCACTGCCCCATACGTATTTATGGCGTGTTAATTAAGCATAGGGACATTTTTATGACCGCCTCTGTGGTCTAGTGGTCAGAGTTCCTGGGTACATATCCAGATATCTGGGTTCGATTCCTGGCGCTACCAGATTTTCTGAGAAGTGATGGGTCTGGAAGGGGTCCACTCAGCGTCGTGAGGATAAATGAGGAGCTACTTCAAGGAAATAGAGGCTTCGGTCTAGAAAACCGAGATTAACGGCCGTGGGGATTCGTTGCACTGACCACGCCGCACTCCCTATATGCAAAAGTTGACACTATGTGGAATGCTCAGTTGAACAATTGTTACGAACCGAAGTTGCGTCTCTGTGTGATTGCTTACTTGTCCTGATATACACAATCAGCTTGTGGATAGTCGTTGTTTCGTTGAGCGAGTGCACTATATATCACTTTTGTTCTACATTCAAGTTCCAGATTTGTGGGCCACGGGACTGGGGAAAGTTGTCATCAACGCCTCTCTGCAGTTAGGAGTTCATGGCCGGGAGAGCATGGCACCCGCCTGCTGCGTTCTCCTCTTCGGAGATGCCAGGGGTGGCCAAAATCTCAGAGCGTCTCGTATTGTCTGCGTGAACGACGTGTCAGCTAGCTTCGCTGAAAATAGTCACACGTCATGAAACTGCAGCATGATACATGTATCTGTCAACGTGCGTCTGAGGAAAGACAAGTATGAGCATGTCAGCTATGGTCACCATCAGTTTCTGGGTCTGTTCCGGTTGGACAGTTCAAGACCTTTTCAGCCGTCGTTTTGCGAGGTGTCCTTTTCGTCTTCAACCATATTGACAGAGCAACTTTCGAATTCGTTTTCAAGCCGTTTGTTCCAGCGTTCTAAACACTTTTTTTCGATTCTGGCATTATCATACTATCTGTCATTCCCACTGCTCTCATATCCTCATCAGAATTATGGTCCATCATTCTGCATCCTGCGACCGCTCCTATCTGAGGAAACATGTATTCTACCATCTTCATTCTTCTCCGTTATATTGTTATGAAGAGGTTAACTTTCAATTCTGGAGGGAAATGTTAGTCTTCTTGTGTCGTGGAGAATGAACTCCGAGGATTTACTTATCTATTTACACATTTAGATATTTATTACACATAAATAATTTGTTTCCTGCTCTGTTTAACTATAACAAAAGTTAGGAAGTAAAGACTGAAGCTGCAGAGATGACATTTTGAGGAGTGTAGCAGGCTACACAAGTAGGAGCCAAATAAAATATACTAAAACTAAATAAGAATTGAACATTTGGATCTGGTGGTAGTCGGTAGCGTAGTTGGTTGAGGCGCTATGCTACAAACCGGAAGGGCGCAGGATCGAATCCCGATTAGGTCATTGGATCTTTTCAATTGACCTAATTCTTCCAGCCGCACTATGGCCCTGGGTTCGACTCAGCCTCTAACAGGAATGATCAGCAGGAATATTCCTGGGGGTAAAGTGCGGCCGCCGCGTAAGGCTGACAACCCCACCGCCATCTGTGAGCCGATTGTCTAGAAAATGTGAGATCCTCAACTTCTCACAACCCTATGGGCCTCCACGGCCTATTACAAGGTAACCTTTACTTTTACTTTAAATTTTTAATCTAAATAATAAACTTTTAAAATCTAGTTTACAATGGAAGCAGACGAATTCCGTGGGAGATTTTAATATACGAAGGACGAAGGAGCATGGGGACCCCACAGTTTAGATGGAGACAAACGTGGGACTCTAACCAACCAAGTCAACCTCACTTCAGACTTGAGCGTGCATTAACTGAGGTGTGGGCTAGTATTTCAGGGTAGATTGTCGTGATTATAGGATTGGTTAGGTTAGGTAACTCAGCTGGTAAATTGTCTCATAGGTTGCATTAACGGAGAAACAAGCCTGTAGTGCACCATACAAAAAGCCACAATAATTTTTTTCTGATGGCAAAGTGCATTTATTAAAATCACCAGTTTATACTCTTTTCAACACTGAATTACTTAAGTCGCGGAAGAAATGAGGGTTAACACTGTGACGCTGATCAATTGCCATTTCGTGTCAAATCAGCCACTCTACGGGTATTAATCTCTTATAAAAAATTTTCCAGAGTAACTAAACACGTCCCTTGACTTCCAAAGTTGAAACAGGAAGCTCCCGAGATGTCTAGCACCAGCGACGCGACAACTCTCCAAGAAAGTCCCTCATTGTCAATTGGCTGGATTGGAAATGGGTCCCTCACCCTTACATCAAATCTCAAATTAAGACACTATCACTTTATTTAGCGTTCCTTCCTATTTATTAAGCGCCAAACATTTTGTCATTCGACACTGAATACGTTTAACTTAGAAACTGAAATTATCATTAAATAAACCATTTACATTTCAAGGAATCTCCCTCAGATTCACAGTATATTTTTATAAATTGTCATTAATTCTGAAGGACAAATCCAAAACAGTGTGACTGGGAGTGCCTGTGGCCTATTTTGCATCTAACCAGGTGTCTGAAGGATGACCCCTCAGTCTAGAAAGCCTTCCTCCGGACCTTGAATAGAAAGCACGGGTTATTCATTACTCCGCGTGGTCTCAGTATAATTATACATACAGAGAGATTCTGGGCTGACAGCGAGTTGTTGAGCCATGGAGGCAATTCTCACCGTCTCCTCAGTCTGAGTTATGTACAGCTGGATGCTGGGATCCTTATACCAAGTGGCCCAGCGGCTGAAGATACGATTCTAACGGAAACAGAGGCCTTTCTAAATTGTTTCCCGGACTCATTTTAGTATCCATCAATTTGAATTATATTTTTGACGATGTTATCGCAGTCAGTATAGAGACTAGTTACGGGCTGGACGACTGAAGGGTCGGAGTTCGAGTCCCGTAGGTTCAAGAATTTTCTCTCCTCCAAATCGTCCAGACCGGCTCTTAGGTCCACTCAACCTCCTATCCAATGGGTACTGGGGGTTTTTTCCCCGGGGCAAAGCTGCCGAGGCCTTAAGCTGACCGCTCACCTCCAGCTAGTGATGAGGTAAAGAAAATGGGGATCTATACATCTACTCCCCCATGCGCCTTCATGGTGTAGTGCTTAATTCGTTGAGCACAGGGACAACTTTACCTTTACCAGGGACAACTTTACTTTTATATGAATTATTCAACATAGATTGAATGAATACAGAAACAAATCTCTTTGAGAAGAAATACGTACTTTTGGACTTGAGACAGAGGTAGAAACAGGATATTCGTAAAAATTACATAATCAGGGGCTTCGCGGCTTTAACTCATGAGCTAACATACTTAGTGTTGTTTACATCCCGTACGTTAAGTGAGTGAGTCATGTAGTACACACTGGAATGATGAAAAATTCTTAAAATATTTTTGGTGGACTACTTGAAAGGCAGAAGTGATCACATCGGAGGGCTATTGAAATTAAAATTCATATTACGAAAAGAGAAGGTAAAGGTGTGAAATGGGTTCAGGTAGCTCAAGTTAATTTTTGGTGAAGTTTCCACGAAGCACAAAATTTCTTCAGTAGCTCAATAAAGGTTTGAAGCTATATTCTACCACGAAGTTTTGTAATTGGTTCGTCAGTTACGAAGTGAATGCAAACTTCACTCATTGGATAAGCTTTTGACTTTTTTCGCGATATACCCAGTTCAAATCTCGTTTTGGTAGACTGAAATTTTCTGTGCTTCTTTTCAGTCCGTCCTGACTAATTCCAAAAAAATATTACGTAAAACTAGCGCCGGTATAGCTCAGTCGGTATAGAGACCGCCTACGGGTTGGACGACCGAAGGGTCGGAATACGAATCCGGATGGGAGCATGAATTTTCACTGCTCCATGTCATCCAGGCCGGCTCTGGGACCCACCCAGCCTCCTACAATGGGTACAGGGGCTCCTTACCTGGGGTAAAGCGACCAGGGCGTGAAGCTGACGTCTTTCCTCCAACTAGTGTCGAGGTCAAGAAAATATGGATCTATACATCCACTCCCCCATAAGTCTTCATGGTTCAGTGCTTAATTTGTTAAGCGCAGGGACAACTTTATTTTACTACGTGAAACTAGAGGGCCCTTACTTTAGTTCGATTTAGAAATAATTCCGAAACTATGGCTTCTTTACACATTTCCTACTCGAAGGACTGCCCCATCGCGAAATCCGTACTTGCAGAACTCCTCAAGAGGGAATGTAACACAGGACTTTAGGTTTCAACGCAAACTTACAAATTTGCCGTAGTTTTATACCCTCACAGGATGATGCCGTATAACTTCTGTAACTGATATGTTAAGTAAGGATTTAACCAATCCCTTACTTAGTATGGAAACATTTCTCTTGTGACGTATCGACTGCCGTTTGCCATCGTGCCACAAACGGCACTCGCGGAGGGTTTTGGCCGTGACTGCTCTAGGGAGGAAGAGAAAGTTCACGACGATATACAAGGCGCCTTGTAACTCTCTTCTTTCGCTTCATGAGGTTGTTAAACGATTGACCTAAATACCAGCACGAAGAGGATTCTAGTCACTCACAGGTGTATCTCGTTTCCTCTCAAGATATAGTTAGATTACAAGTTGCAACATCGGAATGAGATTGTGGTTTATACCTTTAAGAGAAGATGCGGAATTTTGCAACGAACATTATGTGCATATTGAAAGCAGAATTTCTTCTTAGTTGCGAGTCCGTGTGATCTAGATGTGGGACTTTACAGCCGTGGCATTCTTGTGCTTGAGCCCGTCCTCCACCAGCGATAGCAGCGACACGAAGCGCAGTTGTCTCTATATGACTCAAGAGAATGCTGACCGCACTAAAACATTATCTCACTCAGATCTTCAGTTTTTTTTATTATTATTATGTAGAAAGTCATAAACTGTTGAAAGGTAAAAATAAAAGTGTCCCCGTGTTTATTAAGCAGGCATCCATGAAGACATACGTGGTACTGGATTTATAGCTCCACCATTATTGGCATCGGCACTAGACCGAGGTGGTCAGTTTAACCTCCAGGCCGCTTTTCTCCCAGGGAAGTAGCACAGACGATGCTGAGTAGGCCCCGGAGCCAAACTAGACTATGTGGAGAATAGTGAAATCACTTGCCCCTGCCGGGAATCTAACCCCGGTCTTTCAGCCCGTAGCCCGTCTCTATGCCGACTGAGTTATCCCGACTCCCGTTATAAACAGGTTTCTTTACAAAGTCGGTGATTTTCTTCAATAGTCTGTTTTTAAGATCCCTCGATTAGTGCGATCCTCTCAAGATGACAGACCAGGTTTTGTAACCATACAAAATGGAAACTTATATTACAGGGTTATGCATGTCTAAAATTTAAATTAAAGGAGTTTATGAGTCTGAAACTAAACTGAAGTACATTACAGGTCTTATTCTCATCAGACCTTTTAAAATTAAGAATATATGTTATATATAGTATACTTATGTAAAATGTGCTGGAATAGCTCAGTCGGTATAACGACTCGTTACGGGCTGGATGGCAGGGGTTAGATTTCCGGCAGGGGCAGAAGAATATTCTTTTATCCACAGCGTCTCCAACCCCACTCAGCTTCCTATACAATGGGTACCGGGGCTCTTTCCCTGAGGATAAAGCGACCGGAGCGTGAAGCTGATCACTCACTTGCACTTAGTGTCCAGGTCAAAAATGTTGCAGATATACCTTCAGTCCCGCATATGTTTTATGGCGTCATGCTTAATTAAGTACAGGGACAGTTTCTCTTTACCTTACTTTATACATTAATGCACAGCGGTAGCGCAAATGTTCATCTCAGAGTATCATTATCCTTCCAATCCTACTAACAGAACAGTGTGTGTCACTAACAGATGGAACAGAGTATGTAGCAGAGCCGGCCCATTCCAGATTATAGATAGACACTACTTACAGTGATAGGAATGTCGTCATTTTCTTTTCCATGAGCATAAGAGCATCAGGTGGCTGTTTCACCATGACGTCACAGAAGATTTTCTTAGCACAGGGAGTGTTGCTCCAGTCGCCCTTGTGGTCAACAAACCTCGACATGCTGGCCAGTATTTCCTGTTGACCTGATTCCAAATGTTGTTCTCCGTCCTCCAGTCTAGAAAAAGCATCTCCTTTGTTATCTGATTGTTGAGGACGATCTTCTGTTGATCTCTTCGAAATGACGTGATTAGAACTTACAGGTAGTTGCTGTATTGTTACATCGGTCTTCCTTACTGACTTTTCTGCAGACCTCTTGACCAGTCTATGTTCTTTGTTCTCAGCAATATCAAAATTAATAATTCGTTCATCTAATTTCTGGCCCATTCGTACACGCATTTCTTGATTTAATTCCCTCTGCGTTCTTAAATGAGTGTTTGATATGTCCGGTTCTTTCATTGAAATCCTTTCGCGAGACTTAAAATCGGGATCTTCTTCGACAAAAACAATCACTTCGTTATTTAGCGACCTCTTCGCTTTAGTCTGCTTTTCTTTGGATGGGATATCATCTTTGCCGAGTGCCCATCTTCCTTTCCGCTCTTCGTTCTCGTCTTCCGTCACAATCCAACTGCCTTCTTGATGCCCAATACCTTCATGTTCCGCTAATGTTCCAACAATCGATTCTATGTCTTTCTTCTCTTGATCATCGTGATTTCTAATGTCGTCAACTCTAGCCCAAAGTCCTAAGCGATCGACTACTTTTTTCATCCTTTCATTTTCTCTTGGATTCACACTTCTAACTAGCATCCAGTTCCTTTCTCCTGTAACATCATTTGGCCTTCCTATGGCACTCTCTATTATTTCAACGTCATCTTGTTTAACAGAATCATCAGCAAACGTCCGTTGTATTTTCTTACCTCTGACATTTGTAACAGAGTCTTCAACGGGTTTCCATCGTGCATTATCCTTGTTTCCACTTTGTTGTCCGCCGTTCAAAGCTCTAACAGCAGTTTCAAAGACCTTCTTTTGCTCGTTTGGATTGTCAAATTCTTCGGCAACAACCCAAGTCCCTCCTTGGCGTGTTGATTCTCTTTCGCTAAGATCTCTCACGATACTCTCCAGGGCTCTCTTGTGTTCCGCCTGCAGTTCGTCTGATTCATCCTCTCTGAGGCCAACTCTGCGTTTCATTACATCAACATCGAGGTATCTCCCAACCGCTACTGCACCAAGCCCCAAGGCTGCTCCGCCAGCGACAAGCCCCAAAGCAGGAAGCAACACCGGATATGCAGCGACAGTACTGCCAACTTTGTCTTGGATTACGTTTCGATTACTTTCACTTGCGAGACCAAGATTGTGCGATATTTTATGCGTTGCTTCCACAAGTGGTTCGACAACAGGACGCGTTATGTCGCTGACCTTTTCCATGCTGGTTTGGACATGTTCCCTAATTGTGTCTCCTACGCGCTCCCAGAATGGTCTCTCTTGGATAGTGTGAGCGTGAATGGTATAATATCCACCTGCAAATGGATACTTCGAATACCCGGATCCTGCAGTCTGACCTTTGTACCTGCTCTGAGTTTCCTTACTTTTGTCAAAATACGCAGTGTTGTATCCATTGTAAGGAAAACGTTTAATGTACTTGTCATTTCCTAGGCCGTATGAATCATCAGATAATTTTTGTTTATGTAGATATGCAAGAGAGGTTTCTGGCCATTGTTTAGAGTTACTCTGGGAGGAAAACTCGCCGTCATCAGTGCTAGATCTCTTTGTGTGTGTATTGGAATCCACAGTGACAACCTTAGCTTGTTCTTCATTTGTTTCCAGTCCCGGTTCGTATGCATATGGGCTTCGATCGCTGTGCATGTCATGAGCAAAGTAGGCGAGCGTCACTGTGTTTGTCTTGCCTTCGTCAGCCCGTTTGTCACTCCGTATGGACTCGTCTTCTTCTTCTTCTGCTTCATCCTGCTTGCTCATTACCTTAGCTGGCTGAACGCCAAGTTCTGGATGAGCGTACTGAAGTACTGGTGTACGAACTCCTTCTTCAAATGACACTCGAGATGTCTTAACGCTAGGCCGTGTATATAGAAGGGACGTGGGATATATCGAAGATCCAGGGAAATGTAACACGCGCGCTTGCGTCTCGGAGTCGCCGCTGCGTCTTCCATTTACGTTTCCGTCAGAGCTTCTGGAAGCACTAAACTGAATCATGCGGGCTCTCGGTAGAGCACTGCTGCGCCTGTCCGTTTCACGTTGATTTACGGTATTGATATATTCCAGTATTCGTGCATGGGTGTAGATGTCATGTGGAGAGGTGTGTTGATGCTTCTTCTTTATAATATGTTCAAGGTATGATGATGGTTGAAATGGATTTAAGCCTTCCGTAGTTTTCTTATTTGTTGATAGATCTTCATGATGTACTGTAGAATCGCTGGTAGTTTTCTTTTTATCTCCTGAGTGAACATTAATTCCTGGATTTTCGTAAGGGACCAGAATGCCGTTAATGACTCTAGCATTTCTCCACGTTTGACGATCAGATTCATCGTCAGGCATACGAACTCCGTGGATTACCGGAATACCATCAAAGTCAATGTGCATCACACTTCTCCCACGTTTCCAGAAGTCCTCTGTCCTCTGCTGTTCTCCTTTAATGCTCATCGGTGACGATCTTACATAAATTGGAGGTGGGACATTAATTGATTTTTCGTCGCGGTTATTTTCTCCATTGTAAACCTTACTGACTTCTTCGGGTGGCGAAGATGGTGAACTTAAGCCCTTTGGTGATGCAACAATACTAATTGCGTCTTCAGCAGGTTTATCTCCATATTCTATTAGGAAGCCAGAAGACCTTACCGTAGCAGGTAGTGGGACGCTCAAAGAGGCATCATTCTTTGATTTTCCTTCCCGCTTTTCTTCTTCTTCGAGAACGTTCATTGACGACGACCTGACGGACACTGGAGATGGCAGAGCATGGTTTGACTTGGCGCCTCGTTTCCTGACGATCAGAGTGGCTATGTCTCCATTGCGGGTGCGCACGTTCACAGTCTCCGTGGAATCGGGATCAAGGCTTCTAGCTACATGGAGTGCCGTTCGTGTTACTTGTACTTTTGGCGTCCCTCTCTCGCCTTTGGCTTCAAGAGCTGCTGCCATCGCGCACGCCAGGACGACGAGTAAACACCTCATCGCCTCCCGCTGTAACACATTAAAGGCAATATTTAATTGTATATTGTGTTATAGGCAGTGGCGTGCCGTGCATGGAAGCAAGGGAAGCATTGCGTCCGTAGTTAAGAAATAAGAAGGAAAGAAGTCATATATAAATAATAAGGATGTGAATATTGTCATGTTCTGAAAAGTTTAGCCCGTTCTCAAGGCCACATGCCTCCTCCCTTCCCCTGCTTTGGGGGAGGAACCAAGTTTCCTTTCGTTAATCTTCGTACGATTTCGTCTAACCCGAAGTTATTAGGGAAGCATTTTTCAGTTTGCTGGCTAAGTAAACTGTGTTCTTTCGATGGCTATGTGAAAATTAACTGTTTATGTGTGATTTCAGTCTTATTAGGTGTTATAGGTAACATTAATATTTATAAAAATTTTGTAAGTGCATATTTGGATGGCATAAGAGTGTATTTGTGATCGTATTTTGACGCATCAGAAAGAAGCTATCGGCGTTTAAGGGAAGCAAGTGTAATATTGTGGTACACGTGTTAGGGTCGTGATTAGGCTACACGCACAGGAAACTGCTAAAATGAATGCTGGCAGACAAAGCGACTGAGACTGTGAAGTCGAAAGCCTTTTAAAAAGAGGGGAGGGGTTAACAGCAGGGAGTTTTCTGAAAAGAAAATTGTTATAGAAAGTGGACAACTGTCATTCGATTTGCCAGAACTTAAAGCACAAACCAAATTATGTGTGAGGAAATTTAATTGGAACAGTATTCTAAAACAGAGTAGCTACCCGGTTGCCGTAATATAGTAAAATTGTTTTGTTGGCCGTGCCTACTGTTTCTCAATGAAAAAAATGTATGGAACAAGAGTGGGTTTGGTGATAACAACAGCCTTCATAAAGCACTGAAACGACATGAGAACTCTCAGACTCACATTATTTCAACACTGCAACTTGTTATGTTCGGGAAATCTCGAATTGACTGTCAACTTGACAATCAAAAGCGCCTAACGATACTACAGCACAATGAAAATGTGAAAGAAAATAGAGAAATAATGAAACGCTTGATTGATATCATCTGCCATTTAGGAAAGTGGCAACTTGGCCTACGTGGTCATGACGAAAGCGTGGATTCTATCGACCGAGGTAATTATGTGGAAATAGTTCACTTGTTGAGGAAATATGATCATAAACTCAAAGCTCACCTTGAGAACAGTACAGTATTTACAGGTTTATCGAACAGAATAAAAAACGACCTCATTGACTCAATAAGTGACTAATTCTAACAGAAATAAAAAGAGAAGTAAGCTCGACCCCTTTTGTTGCTGCAATGCTTGACGAGACGACCGACATTCGAAGCCAATCACAGCTCTCAATCGTATTAAGATATGCAACTAGTGATGGTGAAATACAAGAACGGTTTTTAGGATTTTCGAATGTGAGTGCTGATCGAACTGCACCGGCGTTAGCTGAACGCGTTATAGACTGTGTAGTTCAGTATTGGCAGCAAAATAGTGGCACAAAGGTATGATGGGGCGGTGGTCATGTCAAGTGAACTTAATGGGCTACAAACTAAAGTGAGAGACACGTTTCCAAATGCCATGTTCATACATTGTATGGCACATAAGCTTAATCTTGTACTTTCACAGTCTGTCTCCAATATTAAGGAGTGCAATGTGTTTTTCAAAACACTGAACAGCTTTTCTTCCTTTTTCTCTACATCTTCTAAAAGGACGACCTGTTTGGATCAAGAAGTGAAAAAGAGCTTTCCGAAAGTCGCACCAACCAGGTGGAACTATAACAGTAGTCTAGTAGAGACAGTATACGAGTACAAATTTGAATTGAACACCATGTTCCAATATATAATTGAAAATCCAGATAACTGGGATAATGAAACGTACTTTGCCGCTCGAGGATTTCTTTCTGTGCTGCAAGATTTCAAATTTCATTTTCTGCTTTCTGTTTTCAAAGATTTGTTTTCAGTAACTACCATTTTCTTCGACATACTACAAACAAAATCAAATGACATATCTTTTCGTATCCGTAAAGTGACCGAAGGAAAAGAAGATATAGCCAAGAAAAGAGAAAGCTTCGAGAGCGTATTCTCCGAAGCGTCCTCAAATGAAGAAGCTGATGAACCACAGAGCAAACGATTGCGTCTTGACAATGTAGGAGACGTAAAAAGCGTTTCAGAAATTTTATTATGAAATTTTTTATAATGTTGTGAATTAAATTGAATTAAGTAAGATTTGACCAGAAGACTACTTTCTTCAAATTGAATTAAGTTTTCATAACTTAGAAAAGCTAAAATTTCTTGAATTAATAAATCAGTAAGGAGTATGAAAAGACATTTCCCGGAGTTCCTTTTTTGTCACTGAAAATGGCGTATGGCCAGCACTTCAATTTTTCTCGTTTAAGAATTGAACTGAGTGTATTTCATTCTAATGAAGATTTAAACATCCAGAATGCAAGTCAGTTTTCGCTACATCTAAAAACTACAAACATCGACAGTGCACTACACCAGCTGACAAAGTTATGTGAACTGATCGTGACAATTCCTGCAAGTAGTGCTTCGTTTGAACGTTCGTTTTCTGCACCGAAGAGAATTAAAACTTACACGAGGAACTCTCAAGGTGAAGGTAGAATGTCCAGGTTGTCTCTGTTTCCATTGAGAAGAAATTATTGGAAAACATTCGCAACAATGAAGGTTTCTACGACCACGTCATCAATAATTTTGCTGCTAAGGACCGGAGAATAGATTTGGTCTTCAAATAAATTTTGGTGAGTTGTGTAACCGTACGCATCCTTCACGGAAAGTCTTATTCGTTTGTAAGTAACGGTTAAGTTTAGCTGTGGAAATGAGATGCTCCGGAGGGATCATGGTCCTCTGAACTGGCCTTTTGTTGCGAGGGATAGAAGGGAGGTTGGTGAGTCCATTGCATTCAAGGGGGAGTAGGTATACCTTCTTTCGTCCGTGCCTGTGGGGGTGGAGGACCTGTGGATCGAAGCTTCGAGAACGTTCGAGAAGGTGTGCAGACCGGAAGGGGTCCGTGTATTTGGTCATGAAAACCTCCCAGTGGAAAGTTCGAGATGGCTAAGAACGGGATTTCTGGAAGCAGCAGCGGGGGTAAGGAGTTAGTTAGTGGATAGACGCCAGGGAGTTAGTGAGGGGGTAGAAGCCAGGGAGTGAGGGTGTTCATGTGGAACCTGTGCTAGGGGGTTAACCGATCGAGCCCGCATCCAAAAAAACGACGTAAGCGAGCCAACACCCGTGTACCCCTGGGATATAAGACTCATTCCGCTTAATTTAGTCGAGGCATACACCGCGTGGAAGTAAAGCGTGTGGGACGGGTGTAGTTGATTGCTATCAGTTCGTTTATTAGATACCACTGCTTCCCTTACCAAAAATAGTACCTCAAGCCACTGGTCATAGGATACTTTTGCTTTAAAAATTGAAAGGAACTGTTGAGAAAATAATTTCAATTGCATGTTTTGAGAAAATAAACACTCGGTAATTACAAGTGTCTTACTTTTCAACTCGGTCACTCATTTTTTAAATGTACTTGGTCCAAAAATTCACAAGTTCCTTAAGTACGTCTTGCCTTGAAACTAATCTCAACCCATTCTCTCGCTACCAATTCGAAGACCGATAATGATATTGAAACGTGGTTTATCATCCCAGATTTTTTATCTGGATTAGCTTATCAGTTTATCTCTTAAACTTGATACATGTTATAGTCGATAAACGTCCAGAACAGGCATCAGCAATGAACCCTCCCTTCCACCCTTTCAAATATTTTCTGTTGTCTGAAGTCGCTTTTGCCACATTGAAGAGTCATGATTTCTGAAAGAGCTCTATCATCTCGGAAGTACTGCCTTGTAAGTCCGCTGAAAGTCAACCGACATTAGGAGCAAGAAGCCGCCTCTGGTCTTCTTCTCACCTGCGTTCACGCTGGTTTCCTTTCTTAGCTTGTTATTTAACCCTGAAGGTGAAGGTGGCATTTTCGTTCGAATCGTAGGTTGGCTTGCAAAGGCCTACATGGCGTTATGCCCAGATGATAGAACACTTCATAACTGCCGGTGTGAGAACTTCAAATTCTGCATGATCCGTAAATTTTAACAATTCCCACCATTTCTGGTCATAGCAGAAATTTGTTGCTTCCTGTTGCAGTCTGGTGGACAAGGAGTCACTATAAAACGTATCACAGTATTGTGGTAGCTCGTGGGCTCTAAGCGGATCAAATCAGAGAATGTTCGAACTCGGTACTTATCGAATGCCCAAGGAGTCAAGTTAAACTTTGTCACCGTATTATGATAAACCATAAAAGTTAAGTGGATCAAATTACAGAATGTTCGAACTCGGTACTTATCGAACGCAAATAGAAAATGTTACCGCTGGTTTCAGTTTCCTCCTTCATAATCACGTTACAGTAGTGTACACATATACAAAGCATCTGTACTAAATAATATTATCTTTATGTTTTACGTCTTTGTGTTTAATTCGTGTTAAATCGCCGAAGGAAGTGGAATGTTCAAAATCTTAACACTTCTACAAGGTATGGCGAGTCGGGATAGCTCAGTAGGTATAGCGATGGGCTACGGGCTGGGCGGCCAGTGTTCAATTCCCGGCTGGGGCAAGATATTTGTCCCAGCTGCGAGTAAAGCTGACCACTGTCCTATATCTAGTGCCAAAGTCAAGACTGCTGGAGCTATAACTCTTCATGGCTTGGCGTTTAATTAATTAGGCATAGAGACAGACTTACCTCTCCCGATATAAGGCATGCTGTTTGCATGAGGTATAGAGAAATGCACTATTGGTAAATCGTGTTGATCTCTCTGACCGCCCAGAACCTCTCGTTTTGTTTCCACGAGATCTGGCAACTGTGTCGGGGTAATTCAATACTGGCGAGTATCAGTCCAGTAAGATTCTTCCTTAACAGACTTCAAAATGGAATGCAAAAAAGACGACTCCCCCTTCAAAGCGTTGGTTTTTCGCACAGAACTGATCGAGCTGAGGCCTAAAGCATTTATTTATA